ACACACACAATACACACCCACATGCACACACACATAGATATACACACACAATATACACCCATATGCACACGTACAACACAATACACACCCACATGCACACACAGATATGCACACACACAATACACACCCACATGCACACACACACACAGATATGCACACACACAATACACACCCACATGCACATGCACACAGACATGCACATATACACACATATGCACACACAATACACACAGCTACCTATACATGCACACAAGAACACAAGCATATGTACACATACACATATATATGCACACATGTGCATGCACAGATACACACATGCACACATACACACAGATACACACAACACACACACAAAGATATACATGCACATGTGCACACTAGACACACATGCACACACAGATAGTCGTGCACACATACACATTCCACACATCCCGCGTAGATTTCTTTTACAGAAATCTCTGTTTTGTTGAAGAAAATAATAGCAGGCTAAGAGCTGACTTAGCGTAGCCGAACCACACTCTGGGACCGGACGCTTGCTGTGGGTTCACAAAGCCTCCTGGTGAAGCTACAGGAAACACCCAGACGGCTCTGGCCTCCCAAAGGCGATGCCCCTGAAGTGAAAGGAGCCCGTTTCTTTACACTCCGCGTGGAAATCGAGGCTTGTTAGGGGCCTTCTCATGATTAGGAAAATGGTTGAACAGGAAGAATTCTTAGTGTTCACCTGGTCCCACCGCCCTGTTTTAGAGACGAGAAGGCTGGTGTGGACATGCGGCCCCAGCCAGCCGGTGAGAGAAACCGAGGCTGAGTCTGCAGTTCTCACACCTGAGCGGGCCTCAGAGCACTGGGAATTGTGCAGGGGCAGGCGCTGGGACCTCCCGGCACCGCCCCACCCCTCGGGGGCCCCGATGTCCGCGTTCCGAGCACCCACGTGGACAAAGAGGCAGAGAGGAGAGGCCAGCGACCGTGGAGGAGTCTCGGGCTGCGGGGCGGTCACGCCACAGTTTGAGCAAAACTAACGGAAAGGTAGAGGGCGCTCAGAGACGCCAACACCAAGCCCAGCGGGGGTGAGCGATGCCTCCGGGCTCCGCAGAAATCCTCGGGGACGACACGCCCCGCTCACGCTGCCCTGCAGGTCGCTGCTTCCCGCTGGGTTTCCGGGACACAGGTGCCCAGCGCTTGGGCTGCCCTCCTGGGGGTCTGGCCGCTCAGAGCCCAGTGTCAGCGAGAAGTCCCTGCGTGGGCAGCCCGTGGACCGCACGTCCACAGAGGGAGGCGCTGGGGCCGCCAGGGTCTGTCCCCATCGAGGCCGCGGGCTCTGCTGTGTGTTCCCCATCGTGGGAGGGTCCCCGGTGCAGCTCACCAGCTACGAGGTAACACTCCCCCAGGCGCCACCCCAGGTGGCTCTTCCCACCGCCACCAACAGGCCCGGAGGGACCGTGGGTCTCCGCAGGGCTGCGGGGAAGGTTCCGAGCAGGCAGCCGCGGCGGGCGGCCTCTACGGAAGGGCCGGCAGGTTTCCCCAGACAGCACTATGACCCGGGATTTGTCCCGGCAGCGACTGACCACGGACGGAGGCCCCACAAGCACGTCTTCTGGCTTCTACTTCCAGTCGCCGCTTGTCCAAGAAAACCCTGCGGGTGTGTGTCCCTCGGGGTTCATGCAACACGATCGTCATGAAGAACAACAACCGCTCATCCGTCCGTCCCCGACGTGGGCACGCACTTCTGCCTCCGCATGGACCTTGCCGAGGCCCCACACGTCCGGCCCGCGTGCCGTGTGCTCACCGTGGCGCGGGGAGACCGTGGCCTCACTCAGCCAGCCACGACGAGGACCACGAGACACTGGCAGCAAACAGGAACGGGGAGAGATCGGGAGCATTTTGTAAGCACGTTCCTTTCCTTAGAAACTCCTCGGGCCTGGAATCCCCGAGACGGCTGTTTCTGTCACGTCTCCGCTATGACTTTGCTTCCGGAAATCCCAAAGTCACTCCAACGCCTCCTGACGTTGGACCGTTCCTCCTCCTCGTTTTCTGGCTTTTTCATTGGATGCCAGAAATGTTGTCGAAAAGCAAGACAGCCCCAGTGGACTCAGATCAAAGGGAAAATATTAATGTGTTTGCTAAGCTCTGAAAACCCAAACTCCACAAAATTTCTAAGAAAATATGAGAAAAATCCATCGGTGCCAACCGCTGCATTTCTATTCAAGGGCGACACTTAGACGATGACATCAAATGCATAAAATATTTTAATCCAGCTTAAGGAAACGTGGACTAAAACATTTTAATTGTTTTCAAACCAGTACATTCCGAACAGGCCAGTGGGACTGCCACCCACCCAACGTCCTCAGAACATGCGGTTGGTTGCCCATCTGCCAGACTGGCACTATTTCAACCCCAGGGACAATGTGAGAAAAACCCAGGCGGCTGTTTGTAGCACATGAAGCGGTGCAAGGGGACCTTCGGTCTCGTGCCCCTCCTTCCCATTCGGAGACGCGAGCTTCTGACCCGGCTGTGCTGTCGAATCTGTCGTACGCGTGCCCTGAGAGGGACGGAGGCGGTATCGTGACTTCCCCAGTCCGGCAGGATTCCTGTCTCTGGCCCCCGTCCGCACCGGGGCTCCCTTTTACCTCTTCCCACTCCCCGTGAACCGCTTCCTCCCTGTTGGAGCCCTGGGCAGGGGAACGGCATTGGTAAGCGATGGCACTGTTCGCCAGTCTGTACGAAGGAGCCCATCCCCTGGACGGGGGCCGATCACCACCGTGAGCCGGGATCCAGGCGGAAGGCTGCTTCCGCAGGGACGGTCCCGTCGCAGCCTGGAAGCCCTTTTCCAGGGCAGCCTCCAGCGCGGCACAGGTTCCTGTCCCCTACAAGGTGAGGGCTGTTCCCAAATCATGCATCATGCGTATCAGGGGTGCATGACGCCCGGTTATTTTAAACAAACGTGTGACTAACAATGTCGCTGTCAATAACCTTCATATTCGCTACCCTTGCCAGCTGAAGCACCAAACAAACTTGACTTTGAAATCTACGGGCATCCGTAGATTTTTTTTATTTTTTATTTTAACCCCTTGGATTTCAGTGGAACCAGCTTTTGTGAAGTGAGTTTTATGTCTGCTCACTCCCCTCAGCACATTTTCTGTGTCACAGATTTGTGGTCTGAAATTGGTTGAGGGAAGTGAATGAGAATCCCAGCCAAGGGAATTTCCCAGAAAACTCAGGCTGCATCCAAATACAAAGAGGGAACGATGACATTATCAAAAAGGACACACGTGTCCAAAAGCGGCCCAGCACAGATGCCACGGTGGACAGAGTGGAGCCCCGAGTCACGGGCTCTGGAGAGCGACCTCGGGAGGTGTGGACTCGCAGGCCTTTGCGTCAGGTTTCCACCCAGGGAGGACAGGGGCCCGGGCCCTGGTCTAACTAACCCCTCCAGGTGCCCGCTGGTGATCGCTAAGGCAGAGACTAACCCCGGCAGCTCCCCCGTGGCCTTCCAGCAGAACAGCTGATCAGGGTCATCTACAGGAACGTGGCACGAGAAAGCAGCATTGACTCAAACTTCACCACCGCCCCCACAGCATGCTTCCGCGGGCGAGGCCAGCACAGGCGACTGCCCCTAGAAGCTTCCCTGAAGACCAAGTCGCCTGATATTTGAATCTATTCCTAAATCGCCTCTCCTTTCTCAGCACAGATAACTGACGTGTAAAACTATAACCGAGGCGTCCAAATTTTTCTCAGTTTGACGAGTTCAGAACGAGAGTACAGAAATTAGACACAGAACAGAGAGGAACAGAACTCCTCACGCGGGTGCTTTCCTTTGAGGCCACTTTTCCGTGAGACGTGGTCATGCCATTTCTGGCCAGGCCCACTGCAAATCACTCTTTTAAGTTCCAGCACAGTAAACATGCAGTGTTATATCTCAGGTGCACGATATAGTGATTCTGCAGTTACACATACCCTTGGTGCTCATCACGACCCACGTCCTCTTTACCCTCTTCCTGCTTCCCCCCCCCCCCCCCACCCCCCCCTCCCCTCTGGTGACTCAACTGTGTCCTCTGTAGTTCAGAGTCCGTTTCGGGCTCATCTCTCTTTCTTTTTCCTTTGTTCATTTGTTTCCTTTCTTGCATTCCACATACGAGTCAAACCCTATGGCGTTTGTCTCTCTCTGCCTGGCTTATTTCGCTCAGTATGATACACTCTGGCTGCACCCATGTCGCTGCAAATGGCAAGATTTCATTCTTTTTGATGGCTGAGTAATATTCCACTGCATACATGCCGCATTAGCTTCATCCATTCACTTATCAACGGACATCTGGGCTGCTTCCATAATCCGGCTGTTGTAGATGATGTCGCTAGAAACATTAAGGTGCACGAATGCCTTGAACTGGTGTCCTTGTATTCTCTGGGTAAATACCTAATAGTGCGACTGCTGGATCTTCGGGTAGTTCCGGAACCTCTGAGGAACCTCCATACTGTTTTCCAGGGTGGCTCCACCAGTTTGCATTCCCCCCAGCAGTGCACGAGGGTTCCCCTTTCTCGACACCCCAATATCTACTGCTTCCTGAGTTGTCAACGTTAGCCACTCTGACAGGGGTGAGGTGGTATCTCAGTGTGGCTTTGAGCTGTATTTCCCTGATCGTGAGCGACGGTGAGCATCTTTTCATGTGTCGGTTGGCCATCCAGATGTCTTCTTTGCAGAAGTGTCCGTTCGTGCCTTCTGCCCATTTTTTAATTGGATTATTTGTTCTTAGGGTATTGAGTTGCATAAGTTGTTTACAGATTTCGGATGCTGACCCTTTATCGGATATGTCGTTTGCCAATATCTTCTCCCATTCCGTAGGCTGCCTTTTAGTTTTGCTGATTGTTTCCCTTGCCATGCAGAAGCCTTTTATTTTGATAAAGTGCCAATAGTTTATTTTTGCTTTTGTTTCCCTTGCCTCCAGAGACGTATCTAGAAAAATGAAAATCATCTGAATCCCCGCACAACTGTCCACACACCGTCTTTCCTAGTAAAAAGCGTATGAGGGGCACCTGGGTGTCTCAGTCGGTTGGGCGTCCGACTTCGGCTCAGGTCATGATTTCACAGTTTGTGGGTTCGAGCCCCGTGTTGGGCTCTGGGCTGACAGCTCGGAGCCTGGAGCCCGTTTCGGATTCTGTGTCTCCCTCTCTCTCTGCCCCACCCCTGCTTGTGCCCTGTCTCTTTCTGAATGCAACTCTGTTGGGGCTCAAAGCATCAGCATAGTCTGCAGAGTCAAACCCTTCATTAACACAGGAAGTATTTCAGTGTTTTGCTCGGAGCGTGCTAGTTAAATCTAAATCTGCTTCTTAAATCAGGATAATCGAAAATTTCACGTGTAAAATCAACACGAAAGAAACCGCCACCGACCCCACAGGTGCTGTGCAATGTCCCCCTGGCTGGAAGGGGGGACAAGACAGGGCCGATGGAAGCAGGATTAACTTTGGTGAGAATAAAACACTCAGAAAGTGTTCTGTGAAACGCCGATACGCGTGTGTCGAGATGGCACCAAACTGCCTAAGAAAAGAGCACGAAACAAGGTAAAAGGTGCCTCTGCCCTTGAGTCCCCGAAATTTCCCTCCTTCCTGACACAAACCTGGAATCCCTGAGTTTTTACGCATAAAAACGTAGCAAAGATGAGAACAACCTACTCGGCCTTACGCTCAGCGGTTGATCGGCCGGCCTCTGAGCAAACGATCAGACACGGCTCACCTCTGCAGTTGCCCCGGTAAGCGATCTCCAGCTGAGGGTCCTTGCACTTGGCACGCTGGAACTCGCAGCGGGACAGGAAGGTCCGGCCGTCAGACGCGCACAGTGGCTTCTGTGAGGAACCCGCACACGCCAGCTGGCAGTCCTTGTCCTTGTCTTGATCCACTCGCAAAAACTTGGGGGAGGAAAGAAAAAGAAGCCAGACAAACGTAAAGAGGCGTTTCTGCAGAGCAGAGCAGCGGGAGACGGACGTTGGCCTGAGGCCACCGCTGATCGCAACTGACGGCGGCCAGAGACATCGCAGGGGCCCGAGGACTCTGAGCCAGGGGCCAGCAGGGAGGTCGACGGCCCGCGGTCTCCAAGCCAGCGTCTGCGGCTGGATCCCGGAGCTCCGGACTCAATGGTGCATGACACGGTCCATCCCGCAGTGGGATGTGCGGGAAACCCGCTTCACCTCCATCGTCCACGCGACCGGGATTTTAATCTGTAAATTCACTCGCTAGTTCCCTCCCGCGTGCACCACGTCTCATGGTCACCCTGGAAGTTAAGACCGTAAGGAGGGCACCGGAGGAGCCAGGAGGCGGTGGCGCCTCACCACCTCCCTGTCCCAGCGACCCCCTCCCGCGTACTTGCTCAGATTATGGTTTTCTGAATAAATGCCCAGGCCCTGGGGGGGGCTGCTCACTCCCGGGACACGGGGCACGCCCAGCAGTCAGGGGTCTGCCCGCCCGGGGGCCACAGGGGCTGCGAGCCTGGGACCACGCGAAGGAGCCAGTGCAGAGGGCCCGGCGGCCCCCCAGCGCCCGCGCTCGCAGGGGTTCCCCATCCCGCATTGGCTCCTGCTCACATCCCGACGCGGCATCACGGAGCCCACGGTGCCCTCCAGTGGTCCGGCTGCCCCCACGCCGGCCCTGCGCGGACGGTCCCACTGCAGGCGGCCCACCTCACGCCTGTCCAGCGTGGGACGGCTTTGTACCACGGCATAAATGGCACCTCCGGGCGCCCGTGGCCACTGGCGCATCCCCCGCCCCACGTGGGGTTTTCTCTGGTTTGTGAGCACGAGCCCGGCGCTGAAGGAGAACGTCGGGGGCAGAGCCGCGGTCGTCACCGCCTCCCGCGGGCACCGCGTACGCGTGAGCAGGTGGACGTGGCGTCGTCTGTCCCGGAAACACCTGCGGAGCCAGAGAGCGCCGTGCTCAGGGCCTGTCCCCTTCAGGGTCCGCAATGGGGGACACGCGGGAATGGGTCCAGAAGCCCAGGGAGCCTCACCAGGAAGAGAAAAGCAAGCGGAAAGGCGTCCCGCTTTCCCGGGGTTTGCAAAACGTGCTCCTGTGCTCAAACCTGGGCCAAGCGAGCGCGGAAGAACATCTGACTGAATTCTGGCCGCAGAGTTTCTGGGCCCGGTCGTTCCGCTTTGCCCAAAATGTGTTTTAACGTTGCGGCCCCCAGAGGTGCGCCCGCCCCCGGGGGCCACCCAGCTCCTGAGAGGTGCCGACGCGTCGGCCTGCTGTCCCGGAGGGAGAGCGGCCCCCCAGAAATGTCACCCCCAGCTTCTCGGGGCTCTGTCCCTGCCTCGTCCTTCCGCAAAGACAGACCTCCTCTCACACCACACAGCTGGGCCCTGACAGTGTCGTGTGGGAGAGACAGACAGACAGACAGAGACACAGAGAGGCAGAGAGACAGAGACAAGACAGAGAGACAGAGACACAGAGAGACAGAGTCAAGACAGAGAGACAGACAGAGACAAGACAGACACAGAGACAGACACAGATAAGACAGAGAGACAGAGACAGAGACAAAGAGACAAAGAGAGAGACACAGAGACAAGACAG